CACACACACACACACAAGCATACAAATTAGATCACAAACCAAATGAATCTCTTCCATAAACAAATCTGACACTAGATTGGTACGTGTCCCATGCTTCTTCGGAGGAGTGTGAGGTCTGAAAGCTTTGTGCACGAATAAGCATGGTGAGTTTCCCAATTTTTTCCCCTCGTCCTAAGAAAAATGCCATGTGCAGCAGTTTGTTTCTAGCAGTAGATGAAGTACTAAAACAGAAAGCATCAAAAACAAAACCATTCCAGCAAACGAGGTTATTCTGCATCCCAAAAGTCATCGGCCCGTGGGAGGAAGGAAAGGCTGACGTCAACGAGCTTGTGGGCAGTTGGTAAGAAGGCGGCCCGATAGGAACAGGAGGTGGGGTTGTTCCATCGAGGCAGAGACATGCGGGAGAGAGAAAAGGGGCTGACGTCAACGGGCTTGTGAGCAGCTGCTCCGGCTCTGGAGGGAAGGAGAAAAGGATGACAATGAATGGGATCACCTCAGATGGTAGGATAGGACTGAAGTCTGTCGTCTCATTTGCAGAGGGAGAAGGTAGGTGTTTTCTAGGATTTACGGGGGTTGAACGTTGACCTCCCATCTAGGAGTTACGGGGGTTGAACTTCGACCTCCCATCTAGGAGTTACGGGGGTTGAGATGTGAACTCCCAGGTTATCATCTGATTTGCAGGGGGGGGGAGAAGGTGGGTGTTTTCTAGGAGGTATGCGGGTTGAACTTTCGCCTCCCATCTCAGTTACAGGGGGAGAAGGTAGGCGTTTTCTAGGAGTTATGGGGGTAGGAAATGAAAGGGCTCAAACTGCAAGGGAGAAAGGAATCATGGGTAAAGGTGGGAAGAAGAAGAAGAAGGAGGAGGAGGAGGAGGAGGAGGAGGAGGAGGAGACGGAGGAGACAGAGAAGAAGGGGAAAACAGAGGAGGGCATAGGAAGAGAGCACAGGAAGGTAAGCGGAAGGAGCAAGGGAGAATAGAAAGAGGACGAGGAAGGAGAAGACGAGGACGACGAAGTGGGAGACAAGTGGTCACCATTCCGCGCTTCCTGAACAGACGAGTGAGACCTCTGTTTTTCCAATGCAACATAGCAGGAGAGAAGAGGCAAGTGCCAGAGAGGAGATAAAGGCTACTGTAACAGGAGAGGGGGAGAAGGGAGGGGAGAGGACGGAAGCAGTGCAGAGGAGAGGAGAGGAGAGTCTGCTCAGATGGAAGGGGAGTTTGTTCCTCAACGGGGCAAAAGTTAACGAGGCCAGAGAGAAGAAGGAAGCAAGCAGAGAATGCGATACAGGGTTCTAAGGGTGGAGAGAGAGAGAGAGAGAG